ACTTGAAAGAAACTATGATGGACAGCTAGTCAATTTAAATTTGTATTAAAGTTTTTAAAAATGTAATTATGATGGTTGGTTAGGTCTATTCTCACTAATTTTAATTGGTCAAATTTTGATCAAAATATTTTCTGGTTTAGGATGTATCATCACATATCATTTAATTTTTAATTGCACATGAAGTGGGAGTCATGAGACAGTACATTAGTAATTCAGGTAAACGTCATTGAGAGACCATAAAGTAGATTCTATTATACTTGAGAGGAACAATTAATAAATCAATTTATTTCAAAAGTTTAGGGATTAATCCATATGGATATCAGGATTTAGATTTTATAGATTATATTGATGGAAAATAAGGACAATTGGTTATATTTGCACTTTGGTGAACACAACATTAAGTTGGGTTTATAGGTTAGAGAATATCATTGTTCTGTCGACTATTGAATCTAAGTATATTATTATCAAAGGGGCTAGCAATGAAATGATTTGGTTGTAAAGCTTTATGAAAAAACTTGGTAAGGTGGTAGAGAATTGAAAGCATCATAGTGACAATATGAATGATATTCATATAGCAAAGAAAGCCGTCATTTCATAACATGACGAATCACATTCAGCTAAGATATTATTTTATTCCTTCACTCAAAAAAATGATCAATTATTTTTGGATAAGATACACACAACTCAGAATCCTATAGATATGTTAACTAAGATTGTGACAACTAAGAAACTAAAGTTATGCTTAGTTCCAGTTAGAGTTCAGAAAAGTTGAGATCGAGATGAGCCATATAATAGTTTAGAACTATGAAGATATTGTAGATATGGAGGAGTAAGATTTATTGCAATCAGTCTCTAAGTGAGAGATTGTTATTGTGTGAAACATGATTATGTATTGAACACTCAAATCCCTCAATTTCATCAATCAAGCTTGACGATGAGCTTGTCAAAGGGTTTCGGGGTGTCTCCGACCCTCTTATTCGGTTGAGGGACGCTGCTCCTAAAATTTTTTTTCTATAACTAAAAGCCTAGAACTCGGAGGGGTGTGTCCCAACTTCGAGACTACTAGCGTCTTAACGCCCAATCCAATTTTAGAACATGAGAGCACGACAGTCCATCGCCCCTAATGCAATACCTAACGCCCATTAGAGCACTGTAGTATCATATCGCAATGCTTGTAACCGATTTGGGGCAGTCCTTACTTATTATGGCTTATTTTTTTATGAAAATAGTGTTAGATTTCATGTATTTTTCTTGTGCAGAGGAGAGAAGAAAGTCAGTGTTCTAAAATGTGGATATACTTGAATGTAGTGTAATTTGTACGATTCTTCTCAATTTTTTGTTCATAGTGGGTTTCTTGTTGTGACATGATTATGTGATTTTTTTCTATTCTCAAGTTTTCTATATTAAATCTTATGTTACATGTATTTTCTTGTTTTGTGTACTTCTATTTCAAGTATTATTTCATATCTCTCCAATCAGATTGTGAATCTCTCCCAACAAAACAATATAAAAGAAATATAATGTATTTGAAATATTTTTGAATTGTTTGGTTCAGTGTAAAATAAATGTAAAAGAAATTTTAAATCAATATAATATGCTTAATAATAGTCGTAACCGCCTCAACTAACAAGTACTGCGACGATAGGCTAACAAAGCTTCACTTTTGAGGTGTATTTCCTAAAATCTAGTGAATCCCAAATACTTAGAAGTTTTACTCAGCATTTCATTCTCTCTCAAATCAACACCGAAATTTTTAAAATGCATGAATTCGATTATTTTACAACCATTTTTCATCAATCCAAACAACACCTTAAATTTTTTTTATCTTTATTTATCCTTCTAGAAATATATTTAGCATTTGTTACTCATTAAGCCTTTCAAGATAGTTTTAGAGGGATGGAGAGTGTTAAAGGTTGTATATGTCCATTCTACAGTCAAATATATTATGATGTTATTTGCTTTTTGAAGTAGATTGTTATTTTCTTACATAAATAAATGAGTGATTTCCAATATCATTTGTATTTTCTTTTTATTTTCCATTTTCTTATAGGAAACTTTATCTTATGGATGCTTTAATGATTTCAACAAGAATTTTTTTAAAAAAATTTTCTTACTTTTAAATTTCTAAATATGAAATTTTATGAATTTTTATCATGTGGTGGCGAATGATTCACTTGTTCCCCCCAATTTATTACTCTATATTATAATTTTTGTCATATGAAATAATCTTTGATGATCATGCGATGTTAATCATCAACCATGTTGCATGATTTTCCATATGTAACATGCGTAATACTACGTTGTATGCATGACATCCATCATAATGGCTTTATGACTTTTTAAAATGAATGTGCTCATACATATCATGTGGTGATCCACATCTGATTTTTTTCTCATTTTGTAAGCATATGAATGTAAATCTATATGATGTAATACTACGTTGTATGCATGACATCCGTCATAATGGATTTGACTTTTTAAAATGAATGTGCTTGTACATATCATGTGGTGATCCACATCTGATTTTTTCCTCATTTTGTAAGCATATGAATGTAAATCTATATGATTATGTGCATACCTCACATATGTAACCTTTTTTTATTGGTATGATTTTACGATGCATAACTGAGTTAACTATATCCTAAGTCATGGCATGTTTATTTATACAACAAGAAGGGCAACGTGAATTATGTGAGATGTGAAATCATGGTAATGTTACTTAAATATTATTCAATGTAAATATAAGAGAAGGTTGAAAAATATATAATTTGACATATCAGAAATAAATTTATTGATAAAATGGCAGCACATTCATCTAATTGCAAGGCTCAAATGTAATTTCATCACTTATTCATAATATTACAAATGTCAACAACTCTAAAATCACCTCCCAACCCTTATCAATTACAAATCTAACCCTAAACTTTATATTACATTTACACAACTCAAATCTTTGGTATTAAATCTAAAACATCACTATTTTAATTTAGAAAAAAAAAAAAGAAATACATCTTTTGATTCACAGATAAGATGGCATGTATCTAAAAATTGAAGTATTGATGTTGGATATATAAATATATATATATTTTGTGAGGTATTTATGTAACACTTAATAAAATTTAGTGGCTTGCAACGAGGACAGTTGGAGGGAAGTGAAATGGGCCCTAGAGTGGCCCTTCACAGGCTGGTCCGGCAAGTGGCCTGCCTCCGCGCCACCATCTACGGAGAAGCGACGGGGCATCAAATTATGCTGGGTTCACGTGGGCCCAAATACTTGCAAACGTTGTCGTCAAACTCAATTGGTCCACTTTCAATTTGGGCTGCTTTAATGCCCGCCAGCGAAGTCCGACGACGACCGCCCGTTGGTTGATGATGAGCTCACCACGACATGTAGGCCTAAAGCGAAGCACAAAACTAATTATTGCTTTCCTTGTGAAAACTAGGCCTTACCCTCTTTCTTAAGCTTTTGAATTAAATTTAAGATCTAATTTGTTCATGACTCATAGATACCACCCCATCCTGATCTATTTTACATATATAGCACCTAAATTTTAATATTTAGGTCAATAGCACTTGAATCTTTGATATCACATCAAAACAAAACTATCATCTATTTTTAAAAAAAATTAATTACTTCTTTTCATGCATAGAGTTATCCCACCGATTTGAACCAATAAGCTATAAATATAAATATGAAAATTTCGATGTTCGATACGTATATATGAAAGGACTGTGGTTGAAGACCATAGATCAGCCTTCATGAGCTAAAGCCCGCGTTTAGTAGCCCTCATAGTAAGACTGTCGTTGGAGTGACCTGCAAATTCTATTTGTGGATGTGCCAACTATCTTACAATAGCTGCCAAGCAAACCTGTTGGGCTAACTTGATAAATGGGGGTTCACCAATCTAGTATGTATGTTCCTTCTAGTGAATTGACCGATCAAACTCACAGGCCTAGCTCGCCTCCTTGACCAACCTCGGGACTATTAGAACACAAAAGTCTAAGACCGATGAACATACGTCACTTCATTATTTATGAGTCACTTGACATATACAACAAAGTTTTTTCATCAAAAAGTCATTGATATATCTGGTAGAACACAACTTATCTTAATATTTTTTCAAACATATAATACTCTTCGTGCCTTTTTTCGGGGAATGCTGCATCATGACACTAAGAAATCCTTTCCTGCCCCCTTCTTTTCATTAGACTCTGCCAAAAAAGGTTCAAACATATAACGCATAATTCAGGCTGAGAGAACACACCAATCCTCATCCTCTACCTTTCTCACACATCTCTCTCCCAAATTGTGTGACCCAGCGTCCTAAAATAATTCAAAAATGTAGTATGTATTAAAATTTTGCAAGATAAAATCTAACATACTTTATAATTAGGCCATTTACACCCATACCACCAAATTCCTACCTATTTACATATTTAACACCTGATATTTTAATTTTTTACATTTACACCACCCAACTCTTCATATCATATCAAAAATATCACTATTTTAACTACAAAAAATTGAAATTTAGCTGTTAGATATGTAAATACATAATAATGGAGTGGGAGGTCATGCACTGAAGAACAAATAAAAATAGAATTTTCCAATGATCTGTAAATCGTCAACATATGGAAAAACCAAAATCCCTTCGTGAAAGAATTGCACAACCAGGTTCAGAGAAGTCTAGCTTAAATCGGTTTTTTCAGAAAGAAACAAAATCCCTCCACAGAAAGTTTCATGAATTTGAAGCTCAAATTTCAAACCTGGACAACGCGGAGGGAAGACGAACACTGCCACAGCCATGTCGGTTTTTTATACAATTTAATTAATTAATTGTTTATTTGCTTCCTGCCTGTCCTCCCCACTGCCACTGTAGGTGCTGCCCCTTTTTCTTAATTACGGTTATTATTTTACTTTACTTTAACTAATTTATTCTTTTAAGGAACACAAGGGAGATGAGCGTTCTAAAAAGAAACAAAAAAGCATCAATTTTGAGAACAAAAGCAACTAACAAGTGATGAATCACTGCAACAGCAACACAGAGACGCTATTACAGGGCTTCTACAGCCCGCTACTGTACAAAAGCAAAAATAATGCTGGTAATGGAATCAAGATTATAGCTCGCTTGATTTCCTCTTTAGTCCTCCGCTTCCCCAATGCAAGGGAAGCAAGAACCAGGAGGAAAGAAAGCAAAATATTCTGAATAAGCAAAAGAGCAACTCAAAAGACTCTATTTCTTTTATTTCGCCATTTTTCTTACTTGTTTCCTTCTTCCGAGTCCGCCATGGATAGATAGATTGATGCAGCCATTTCATAGATCAAGTGCGTTGGGTCCGTTGCAATACTTGAGATACGGGTTCCAAATCCACTGTACAAGGAACTTGGTCCCGCCGACGCCGTTGAGGTTATAAGCCCCGCCGCTCCGGCCGTCTACGAGAAGCTGGCCGGTGTACGATCCGCCGCCGCCTGTCCCGTAGATTCCCTCACATAAATCAGCGATCTCTGTAGGGAAGGGTCACCACCAGCGTACCACGCGTTGATGAGGGGATTCGATGCCATCTCAGCTAACTCATGCCCGATCACACTAACCATTCCATCCACCCCCACGTCTCCGTTCGGCGCGCGCTCGGCTCGCCGACCAGGTACGTAAGTCGGGATGGCGAAGGGGTAAGCGCAGACCTCCGCGCACCGACCGCCGGAGTTACCCACCCAGGCGTACGGCAGCGTGTAACCAACCACGGAAGGGAATGTAAAATAGTGAAATCCGCACACATTGCCGCAGAAATCATCCATCCCGACGTCGGATGAGGTGAGAAGGAGATATAATCCTCCGCGAGGGTTTATCGGGAGGGGGCGAGTGCGGGCTGTAACAGCGGTGCGAATGATGGATTGTACGGATAGACGGGTGAGTTGCTTGCCGTGGGAGTAGAACCGATCGTTCTTCTCAGCACCGAGGCGGACAATGGCGGTGATGTTCGATCCAGTCTGATCGGTGTAGAGGCGGACGGTGCGCCACCAAGCGGAGACGGAGGGGTGAGGGACGGAAGAAGGGTGGGTGGGGGCAATGGAGCGGATAAAAGCGCGGATGACGTGTTTCTGCGAGGGAGACCAAATGCCGTACCAAATCGGGTGGACGGTTATGTTGGCGGTGAGAACAGGGCCCATGTGGTAGCGGAGATGGACGAACTCCGATGATCCTTCGTATTTCTTTGAATCGGTTAGGTCGGGGTAGGGTTCCGGCGAGGTGTGGGAGGAGATGGAGGTGTTTGGGAAGAGATGAGGCCACGGACGCCAGGATGCGGCGGGAGTGATGGTGACGGAGAGGAGGAAGAAGAGGGTGGGGATTAGAAGCCACATTGTTTAGCACGAAGGGCAGCTCTGGTGTGCGGGAGAAGTTTTTGGTTTTATTTGGTTGGTGTTGTCGGAGGGAAGGAAGGGGGGTTTTATAAAAGGATGAAATGAATATTTTTTATAATATGTATTTATACACTATTTTATTCTT